TTTTTTCATAATATTATATTAGAAAAAAACATTTTACAACATTTTTTTTAATTCTTTAGTAAAAAACATTGCAAAAACATTTTTTTCACTATATTATATTAGTTTGCACCATTTTTTTTAATTCTTTAATAAAAAAATGTTGCAAAAACGTTTTTTGTATAATATTATATTAAAAAAAATGTTTTGCAACATTTTTTTAATTCTTTAATAAAAAATGTTGCGAAAACGTTTTTTGTATAATATTATATTAAAAAAATGTTTCACACCATTTTTTTAATTCTTCAATAAAAAATGTTGCAAAAACGTTTTTTTAATTCTTCAATAAAAAATGTTGCAAAAATGTTTTTTTAATTCTTCAATAAAAAATGTTGCAAAAACGTTTTTTTCACAAGAAAAAATGTTTTGCAACATTTTTTTTAATTTTTTAATAAAAAATGTTGCAAAAACGTTTTGTTCATAATATTATATTAGAAAACGTTTTGCAACATTTTTTTAATTTTTTAGTAAAAAATGTTGCAGAACATTTTTCTGAAGATAAAGCTCGAGTCTGGCTTAGCTCAAGCTATGATTTTCATGGCTTGGCAGGACTCTAAAGAATACATATACAACTCAGATCCAGACCCAAAATTTTAATATAATTTTATACACCTAATTTTATTAGAAGCTTTATATAAAATCATCACATAAGCTCAAATTTTATTATAAATTATACAATTATAATCTGAGTTTATATAAAAAAAAATTTTTTAAAGAAAAATTTCAAATAAATTTTATTAAAAATTTTAATAAATATTATTAAAAATTATTTAAAAATTCTAACAAATACTTAAAAATTTTTTTTAAAAAAAATTATTAAAAAATAACTTAAATAAAATTTTTAAATAAAATTATATGTTAAAAATTTTAAATACCTTATAGATATTGATGCCCAATATGTATAATATAATAAGTTTTATGCAAAAATTTGGATGTAAACCCACCTACCAAAAGTATCTGGGCACTTTTAAAAAATGACTATTAAATCACATTATTTCGATATCCAGTGATCAGAATTTAATGATTTATGATTCATTGAATTCATCTAATCGAGACGCATCTAACTGCAGTATTTTCAAGTCTGTAAATTCAATAGATCAGAAGTTATTATTAAATATCTAAAAATAGTAAAATGCAAATAACCTTTGATCCATTAATCCTAAAGACATGAAAATAATAGATACAATGTACCTTAAACAGACAAATCTAATGAGTCATATTTCATCTTACTAGGTTTAATATGGAAGAAAACGTTATGAAATTTGTATTTGCTAAATTTTTAAAGATGAAAAATGAATTACTTCATAAAGTTAAATCATATTATTTCAATAATCAGTGATCAGAATTTAATTATTTATGATTCAATGAATTCATATTATCAAAATGCATCTAATTGCATTATTTTTATGTTTTTAAATTGGATGGATCAGATGTTATTCTCAACAGTAAAATGCAAATAATTCATTTTTAATCTTTAAAAATTTAGCAAATACAAATTTAATAATGTTTTATTCCATATTAAACCTAGTAAGATGAAATATGACTCATTAGATTTGTCTTGTTAAAGTACATTGTATCTATTATTTTCATGTCTCTAGAATTGATCAAAAGTTATTTGCATTTTACTGTTTTTAGACATTCAACGATAACTTCTGATCTATTGAACTTACAGATTTGAAAATACTGCCATTTTTTAGAAGTGCCTGAATACTTTTGGCAGGTGGGTCATGGGTGTATACTACAAAATAAAAGAAAATACATTTTGTTATATATCTCACCACTCAGTGATCGTAAAAAGATAAAATACAGCTCATTGGATTTGTCTTGACAAGACGAATTGAATGGTAGTAGTTTCGTATTTCTAGGTGTGATAGTTGTTAAGCTATACCACACATCGGCACTTTATATTTTCGTCTACTGTACATTTTTACATTTTATCACATAACTCGGCATCTATCATGCCTAGAAATATGAAACTACCACCATTCGACTCAATATATTGAGACGAATCTAATAAGCTGTGTTTTATTTCTCTACGATCACTAGATGCTAAGATATGTAATAAAATGTATTTTTTTAATTTTATAAATGAATTTTAAAAAAATTTCTTCATTTTTATTAAAAAAATGTCTTTAAACAAACTCTTAAAAACTTCTTAAACAAAAAACAATTTCTATTAAAAAATATTTCAAGTGTTTTTTAAAACAAATAAAAAAAAAAATATTTTAAAAATTTTTTAAACAAAAAATAAAAAAAACTTTAAAAAATTTTAAACGTATATAAAAAAAATTTTAATATCTGTTATATAAAATGAAAATTTTACTTATTGTAAAAATCATTATTGTTATACAAATAAAATCTGACTTTTTGCGTAACTGTTATTTGATTATATAATTTCGAATATATAACTTATTAAGAAATTACATAATAAGTTTATATAAAATTGGATTCCAGTATTATATGTATTCTTTGAGGTCCTGGCTCGGTTCAGTTCACTTTAGCTTGAGCCAAAATTTTTATGGTTTGGCTTATTCTGGCTCAGGCCAGAATTTTTTTTTTTTAAGCTGAATTGAATTAGACTGTGGCTCAGCTTAAACCAGCTCATGCGGAGTTTTAACTATTTTTTATTGACCTTAATTCTTGTTGATTTTAAATACATTTATCATAATCATGAACAGTAAGAAATTCCATATTAGTATTTGGAATCGAATATATTCGAATATACTCGAATATTCATTTAAATTTATAAAGTGTATTCGAAATTTCGAATAATATTCGAATAAGTTAAATTTTTTTTTATAGTAATGATTTACATAATTTTTGGCCTGAATTATGATTTTAACTCAGTTAAATTTAAGGATTTAATGTCCAATTAGAATTTTAACTATACTATATATGGCTAAATGAATACTTAAATAACCACTATGCTTATTCGAATACTTGAATATACTCGAGTTATTTGAATAACTGTTACATGAGTCCAAACACTATTCCATATTATTTTCATATAAATCATCAAATCTCCACATTTCAGTTTGCTAATAATAACTTTTTCCTAATTTATTCATAAAATTTCTATCAATATAATTTATAATTAATTTAAAATCAATACCTTTAAAATTACATAAATAGGTTAACATAGACCATTGGTGGTGAAAACATGCCCATTAGAGAAATATTTATAACACATAGATGTTTCAATTTATTACGAAAAATTAGAACTTCAAATTCATACTCACTTATATATGCTAGCCAATTAATATTACCTTCTGGACACACTATGAGTTGGGCATGTTATCGTTTCATTGCAGGGCTATCAGCAAAAGGATACATAGCCAAATAGTTTCAATTATTAACCTGATAGATTAAGGGATAAAGGGAATATCAGCACCAGAAATGCCTAGATATTCCTTATTTAACTTTTTGAGTAATATACTGTATTACAACCGGTATCAGAGAACAAGCGAAAACACCTATATGTTATAATAAAAGATAAAAACAATGAAGTCTCAATAGGATTTGTTAAGAAAAGAACACAGATAAAGAAAAATGGAGAAAAAATTAAATGTTTAATTATAAAAGTTTGTAATATTGAAATATGTTCAGATAATTCTCAAAAAGCAATTATTCAAAAACAAAAATATTCCAAGATGATTACAATAACTCAACATAATGCATTAGTATTACCAATTTTTATTTGTTTATCAACAGGTGCAATTATACATATTGACTGGTATAGTGGAATCGTTAAATAGAACTAAAAATATTTCAGCAAATATTGATATACAACAATTGGAAAAAACACCTACAATTAATTTGAATGAAAATAATTTAGGTCTATGGATCAATCGATGGATTGAGCAAGATACACTTAAACAAGAACTTACAAATATAAGACATCAATTAAAGTCACTGAAAAATATTGAATATTATACAGATGAATCACTGGCTAATCGAACTATAGATAATAATGATCTTTTACATAGAGCAGATAATACTACTGTGAACTTAGAGGCAGCATTCTATACAAATAATGAATTAGGAGAATTTTCAGTATATTTATGTTTATCTTTATGGCCATCATCAATTAGGGCAGAAATAGTAGTTATTTTTTTGGCATTGTTGACAGCACCAGAAAATTCTAATATAACTATTTATACAGACAGCTTAGGTGCTATTAATTCAATTAATTCAGCTTTTAATTCAACAACTAGAGCATGACTTAAAAAGACCAATAATCTAATCATTATTAAAATAATCATGCTGATTAGAGAAACATCTATAAACTTAAAGTTGGTTAAAATAAAAGGTCATAGTGGCATAACAGGCAATGATATAGCTGATAAATTAGCAAAGAAAGGACAATGTGAAAACAATTTATTTAGGAATAATGTAGATTTTATTAATAATATATTATCTTACTTTTCTGTTTTTATAGATAAACCTATTGAAGTCAATATTAGAAGATTTATTTTGAAAATATTAGCTACAGGTGAAGCTACTGAATAGTCATTGTTAAAAAATAATCAGGAATTATGTTATGGAGATGTTAATCAGATAGACTGGAAAATTACTTGGCTTATTTTCCATTATTGCAAGAGGTTTCACTGCATTAGCATGAGAATTAACTATTTATGGACTTTTATAGCAAAATTATTTCATAAAATCCTTCCTTTAGAATTCATTCTAGCAACAAGAAAACTAAAACTCTACAAGGAAATGAAATGTATTATAAAATGTAATAAGAAGGAAAATTGGAATCATTTATTTAAATGTCAGGCATATGTGGTAGTTTGACAAAAAATATTAGAAATTACAATAAAAAAATCTATAATTATATGTTTAAAACAAAAACAAATTAGATGTAAAGGTGAAGATTTTATTAGAAAAGTATTACAAAACATATTAGAAGTTACAGCAAAATAAGAAAAATTTCAAAAGTTTTAACATTTTTGGTATTAGAAATGAAAGTTGAAATTTATCTAACAATAAGATTACAAAAAGACTTCAAGATATCTCTTGCTAAGGTACAGACACTTATGGCCAATATTTTAATTCAATTCATTCTAGCATTTAAAGAATTAATGTGGAAATCAAGATGTGAACAAGTTATTTTATAGGAAAAAAGAGAAGGTATTTCTCGAACAGATAAAATTACTTCAAAATCAAAAGCAAAGGATAATTCAAATCAACCTTCAGAATTCAAAGTAAAAAACAATTCAAATCAACTTTCAAATAAAGTTAAAATTTTACAAATAGGAAAAGTAGATCAATTACAAAAATCAGTCTCTTTGGTAAAAAAATCAATGGATACCTTTGTAAGAAAATATATATGTGAAGATTGGATTCTGATAAAAAAGAAAGTTAATAAAATTACGTTATATATGAGCAAAAAATTATTGGATTGATAGTTACAAAAATAATATTTTTATTCTTTTCTCAATTATATTTATTTTTATTTATAATTTTAGATATATAATCTATTAATTATTGTTATTTTTATTTTTATTTTTATTTTTATTTTTATTTTTATTTTTGTTTTTGTTTTTATTTTTGATTTTCTTTTAATGGTTTATATATTTTATATTTTTAGATTATAGTATATTATTTTGCTATACTTTTTGTTTACTTTTATTCTTAATTTTATTGGTAATATAATATCTAATGTTTGATCGGATTAGCCTGGAGCTGGAAGTATCATTCATAGAATATTTGTGATTATTATATAGTCCAAATATATTCTAATAAAATGATACATGATTCAACATTTAAAAAAAAAAAAAAAAAATCAACACCTTTAGGATTATGAATTGAAATATTATTTAATGAATAAAAAGGTATTTTAGGTATATTAGAATTTGAATTTAATAATATTGTTACAAAATGATTAATATCATGTGTTTTCAATAAAATTGGTTGATTTCTTCAGTGAATATTATGATAATTATCAATATTAAGTATAAACATATTTTCAATATTTTGTAAACAGTAATTATTTATAGTATCTTGATGACTTTCAGAAATAAGAGCTTTTTGACGATTTACTGTTTTTCTTGTTATTGAAAATCCTATATTTGCTAATATATCAATAGAAGATGAAGATGTACCAGAAGTTTGTAAATATGATCCAATATGCTTTAAAACTATTAATATATTTATTATTAATACTAGCCAAAAAATAACATAAAGAAACTAATTTTTTCTTATTATTTTCATTTGTTTTATCAGATTTAGTATAAGGATTAGTTCCAATTAGAGCTCCAAAAATGACTCGCATAAACTCGCATTTTTGACTCACATAATTGTAAATTTCATTTAATTATATTCTAACTTAATAAAAAGTACTTTAAAATTAAGGTTTTTGACTCGTGACTCGACTCAACTCGACTCATTAGGAGCTCTAGTTCCAATATATAATTCATCAAAAAAGCCAATTAAATTTTCATCAGCTGTTTCAAGCATTTTCTTAAAAGCTGTTGGATCATAAATAGGCTTTTGGTTTAATTTATGCTGATTATTGTAAAGAATATTGGACATTTTTATTATCTTATCACTTAAACTAACTTCATTTGGAATTGTTATATGCTCTAAAATTTCTTAAAAATCCAATTTAAGTTGTTTCAATTCTTCTTCACTATAAAAAACATCATTTCTTAATATATAAGAATAATTACCAACTTGTAAAATATTATTGTCAATTTGCTTTTTTCTTTGGAATTGGTGCTTTATATTCTTCAGTTTGTAAATACTCGGGATTTTTATTAGTTTTTTTTTTACATATACTACAAATTTCTGCAAATTCATCTAATTCTAATACTTCAATTAATCTCTTTAGAACTTTTTTAAGATTAAGTTTTTTTGACTTTATATTTGCATTTTTTGATTGTGTTTTGTAAATATCATGTTTTAAATGAGAACAAGATTTATTATATTCAAGATTACGAGTTTTATTCACAATAAATTTGTTAGAATGAGTTTGGCATAGCTTCATGCCAACTAAAATAATTTCTTTTTTTGTTACTGGAACATTTGTATTCTTGGTAATTGTTCTAATTATTCCCTTGCAATCAGTAGAAAAAAAATTACAGATATTTAATGTGGTTTCTATTTCCATTTTTAATTTAAATTTTAAATAATTTATTTTTCAAAAATAAAGAATTTTTTATAAAAAAAATTAGAAACAACTAATGACAAATTTAGTTATGTAAATTTTATTTGCTATTAAAATTCATACAAAGTCTGAAAATTAATGTTTTCAAAAATCTAAAAATTAACTAAAACCCGAAAATGAGCTGAATTTTAATAATAATTAGAAAATTAAATTGTTTTAATGATATCATGACAACCAGTGATTAGAATTTAATGTTTTGTAGCTTGTTAGATCCATCTCATCAAGACGATCATTTTGATAGTAATTTCATAAATTTTTACATCAAATTGATTGAGAAATTGCATTTTGAAAATTTCTATTTATTATATAGATTATAACCATATAATTGCAAGTATAAATTTAGCCATAACTTCTTAATTACCTAAAATTATGAATGATTACTTCAGCCATTAATTTTAAATCAGTTAAACCATATGGACGGATTCGACTCAACAGCATCACCCCCGTAACAAATAAAATGCGATCACACCCCATCAGAATCATATCACATTATATGTAAGATTTGATTGGTTTTGAAAACAATTATATATTACTTGAATTAGAAATTGCGTTTTGTGCGTCAGTTTTGTTAAAAATTAAAAATGCGAAAATGAATTTTTTTACTTTATACGTACGTTTTATATAATTTTGTTTTACGATGCCATATACTTGTTTTCTTTGTTCTGAAAATACTCCTAAAACTTTCTCATCTAAAAACTCACTTTTTATTCATGAAAGAACTGTTCACCCAAATAATAAAATAATACCTCACTCGCGCAGGTTAACTTCTCCATCTTTATACGATATTCACCACTTTAAACATTCTTTTATAATGCAGTTAAAGGCACGCTTACAATTTCATAGAAGTGAACCTCGAGTAAAAACTTTAAAAATGGGGCCCTTTTCTGAAGGACTTTTTATTATTTTATTCTACAATGAACCAACTTTTCAATATTCTCCAGCAAAAAGAATGTATACTTGTAAGTTTGAAGGTGGTCAAGGATATGAACAATTAGGAATTCTTTTTGATAATAAAAACTGGGGTAGTAAAAAGCGGCGAACAGGGACATGTGCATATGTTTTAATGCAGAACGCGCAAGAAACTTATGATGTTACTTTCTGTCGTGTGTACAAAGATTCAAATATGCAGTTACGTTGTGGTTCTATGCGTTTTGAATTTAATGTTGATGTAAGAGATTTTGTAGAAGGTAATTGAAAATTTTATATATGTATAATAACTTAGAAGATTTTGGAATGTAGAAAAAAAAATTTAGAAATATAGTTTATAAATTTAAAATTATAGAAATAAAGTATGAAAAGATTATTTTTTATTTACATTATTTTCCATTTAATGAAAAACTGAAGTATTTACATAGGTTCACAACGCTATTATATTGTTCATATATATTAAATGTATGATTACACCATTAGGTTTTAATGTCCATTGTTTTTCGTGTATATTTAATTGGAGTATTATGTATCTGATAGAACAATTATCGGTTTTCATAATATAGAATATCATGAATTACAGGTTTTTTTGATTTTCCTCCACCCATTGTTGTTCCTCCAAAAAATAGCCGTACCTAAAACAAGAATATGTTAATAAATTATTTAATCAAAAAATGCTAAATAAAATATTACAAATTGTGAATTTAATTAGTTTAAATGTATTTACCTGTTGATGATTTTTCTTTTCTATACTTGATGTTGAAAAATGCCGCAATACCATTCCTTTTTGTTTTAGATATCGCATAAATTGAGGTACATGTTGAGCAAGCACATGCATATAAGGTGTAACGTCTGTGCGCAAATACATTCCTTCTTGTTGATTAATACTATTCAGATCACCAATAGTAGGACGACAAAAATCACGAATCCATTGTTTTGCATCAACTTCAAATTGATTGATTTTCTCATCTGTTATAGACTTTTGACGCATAATTTTATAAAGATTATAAAATTTACGCCAAAGGTATTCAATATCTTGCCCTCTTGCAGCTTTTCGTCCTTCAAAAAGATGTTTAATCTGAAATTCTTTCAATATTTTTTCCTTATCAGGACCCATAAGTGATGTCCATTCCCATTTTCCATTTTTCGTAGTAGGAGAATAAAACTCAAAATGAATATGTAATCTTTTCATTTCTGCAATTATCAATGGTTGTGTGTTATTTGCAAAATCTTTTTGTTTAACAAGTTCATAAAATAGACATTGAAAAAGCACATCAGAAATTCGCAACATAAGATGCAATTCATCTGTGATCCAATTATTTTGATCAATTTCTTGAAAAAGCATTGTATTTTTACATCCTATAACAAATATTAATTTTTTTAATTTTTAATTTAATATTTTAAATAAAAAATACAATAAAATCAAATATATACCACGTGTATTTTTTGAGTTTAACCATACTTTATCCATATCATATCTCTCATCTTTATGATAATTACAATATAAACAGAAGTAATTGGATGTTGCCGCATTAATTCCTAAAACTAATGCTACGAATTTCCAATCACCTGAAAAAAAAAGTTCAATCGGCCAAATTGTATTATTTGAATCTTTATATCCATTTATCTTTAATTGTTCAAGTTCTTGTGAAAATTTGGCCGATACAATTGATAAAGAATTATAAGATTCCTTTCCTATATATAAACAAATACTATGTACAACAATATTATAAATAAATCATGTATAATAATTAAAATTGACAATATATACATAATACCTGTATTGATGAGCAGGATTCAGAACGCCCTCTTTTTCATTAAGAATACACATAGTAAGCATCACATGCTTTTGCTTTCGCCCTACATTTCTCCCATCTCCACTCAATTTTATATTAATCTTATCTCCAACTTTTAAAATAGGAGGTGTTGAAGTTGTTAAAATAGGAACTATAATATCTAATAGAGATATAATAGATCGGTATGCACCATTGCCCACATCATCATCATTAAGTTCTATTCCACTAATATCTTGTTGATTTTCATTATCATTATCATCATCAAGATTAACACTTTGCAAATTAAATGGTTTAATTGGAATAAGGGAATTCATTATTTTTGTGATTTCATTTCGGCGTTTTTCAATTACATGTTCTCTTATTAAATTTGGAACAGCTTTAGCTAATCTGCGATAACTATTACGCGAAATTAATATTTCATCACAAGCACGGATAATTGAATCTATGTGTTGTGTAAAATCAGTTACATTGTCAGGATGGAAATGTAACTCTACAATTTCACCATTAATTTTAAGAACTATAGCTTCAATAGTTGCAATAATTTCTTCAGATGGTGAAGTAAATTTATTTTTTTTGAGAATTGACATAGTTTGTGTTGCAATTTCCTTTCCAACCATTGAAATGCGTTTATTTTTTTGTGATTGTGATGTAAGTTCAGTAAAATATCATTTGCGATTAGCAGGTGTAATAGATTGTTGTGGCTGACAAGCAATAATTTTGCGAATTTGATGTAAAAAACCTATATCTAAACCAAAAAGGGTTGTACCAGAAACTCGTGAATTGGGTTTATTACATATTTCCTATAAATAAAGATTATTAAATACAATAAATACAATTACTTAATCATCTAATTAAATATTACTTACCTTTAAAAATAAGGAACCTGCAGCTCCAGCTGATGACAAGCTATAACTTGACTTTATTTGTCCATTTTCATCTGTCCATTCAACAATATATTTGACTGCAATTTTACGTGAAAATTGATATTGTGTTTTGCATAAAACTACTAGTCCATTTAGTGTTGTTTCTACTTGATAATTATTTGGAATTTTATAATTTATTCCTTTATCTTTTCTAGTATAAATTACTTTTGTAGAATATTGCCCAAGAGATATAATTTTATATGTTTGAGGATAATTTTTGCCACCAAATATTCTAACAGCATGAATATATGGGTTGGAAGGATAATTATGAAAAAATGAATGATGTGTATTTTCATCATTAACTAGAATAAGTTCTTCATTTTGAGTTTCTTGAAAGTGGTCACAAGTAATAGGAGTTTGAAACTGTAATAAATTATTTGGAACTTCACGATTACTTAATGGGTTTCAAAACATAATAGACTGTATTAAAGTTTATTTTGTTAAAATATTGTATTAAAAATTTTAAGACACGAATATATTTTAAAATATTATAAAACATTATAAAAATTTAAACTTTTTACTTCGTCAATTTAATAAATCTTTTATTTCCTTTTTAAAATATATTCACCTTCCTTTTTAGAATATGTATAAAAGGTAAACAACTTTGACCTTAAGAATAGGATCGGAGTATGATTAACTTTGGAAAGAGACTTATCAAAATAAGAGGAGACGTATTAATAATGGGGGCGTGTTGCATTTATTTTGACAGTGTTTATCACGAGGTAATCACATGTATGTAATACAATTTCCTAAATATCACGTCAGATGATATTATAAAAAAAGTTATATCCGCCCATATGCTATGACCCATAAAAGTTTTAAGTTTTGGCCAAACTTCTGTGACTTTATTTGGCTGAAGCTTTAAAGTCTAATATCACCAAATTTACTATAAGATCAGCAAATGATCGATAAGGTGATATAAGGATGTCCGCCCTGTTGGTGGCCGTCACCTATAAACCATACTAATATTATATAACTTCAAATTTTTATAAATTGTAAATTGAATAGTAAAAAAAAAAACTAAACTGATAAAATAATAGAACAACATGTACTGAACATTTCTATCAGGTTATTTTATAGAATTTAATAAGAATTTTAATTAATATTATAGGTTAAAGTTAAATAATTTTAATAAGTAGTAATAATAAATTATATAATTTTTATGGATTTTACAAAAATTCTATGAAAATCCAATAAATTTCTGATTTGCTATTTTTAAGTTATGGAAAAATTGAAAAAAGAAAATTTGCATATACAGTATGTTGTAGGCTTTTCACATATAATAATTTCTATATTAATTATTAGATTAATTGAACCATGAATAGTTGATCTCTCTAACTGGACAAAAATTAATTGGGATAGAATTCTCAAAACATATGATTATGCACAATTGTTTAATAAATCAAAAAGAAAGCTTAACAAAGATAAAATTGATGAGAAAGTAAAAAATTTACTCCATAATGGGTGTAAATTTATTTTTTACTGGCCACTTACAACATATTTATAAATCATTGTAATATTTTATAGATGGAAAATAAATTTCAACTTTAGAATCTGAGGATGCACGTTTAACTATCAGAATTATTGAATTCTTGTAAGTACATTATTAAATATTTGAATCAAATTGAATGAAGATTTCGGTTTGCAGATACCAACCAGAATTTTATTTAGTCACCTCTGCTTACGAAATCCTTAGTACAATTTTTGGATTAATAAATTCAATATCGGTACAACTGGTAAGTGATGATTTTTGTATTGCAATAATTCTATAAAATTGATTTTTGTAAATTAAACCCACCATCTAAAATGGTGGATATGATAATATCATTACGTATTTGCAAAATTGAATTATTAGTGCTTGATACAGAAGGTCCTATCGATGACACTAAATTCCGGGAAGAATCAAAGTGGTAATGAAAAATTGTATGGATGTATTTTTGGAATAAACTACATTTAAAGAAAGATGAACTCGAAGAAGTCTTTGTAATGGGTGTTCAGATAACAGGTATGTGTAAAAATACATTTTATTTATTCAGTACGGTTTAAGTTTTTTCTGCTAAAATTTCTTATAATTACAAAATTTAATCTTGTGATTAGCTTCGTGTAAAAAATCACATACATATGAAGTTTTACTCAATAAGACTCAATTCTCGAAGTTGCTCTGAGATCAGAAATACTTTAAAAATTTTCGCGCAATTCTTTCTTTTGCAAATCTTGTTCTTGATGTTAATGATTCCAACGTACGTGTGTGACAAGTTACAATTTTACGGTAAGACGAAACCAGTGGTGTAATTCTCAGCAGCGTGTATAGTATCCGCACTATACGTATTGAATCTTGTCATTCCTATTTTTTCAAATAAATTTGTCAATCCTCAAAGCTTTCTGTATTTGCTTATTATTTATTTAATAATTGTTTAATTTAGTTGCATACAGAATAATCCCCGTATATAAAGATAGCTTCTATTGTGAAAAAATTATGCATAAATGAAAAGGATGCAAAAAGCGTAGTCGCTTTCAGTAATTAAAAAAATTATACATCAGTGCTATTCAAATCTTTATTTATTAGATTCCCTTTTCTCTATAAGTACAAACCATTTTCGTAATTTATCATCCAAAGAAAAAAAAACTAATAAAAAATAAGAAAAAGTTCAACTGGTCGTTTATATTCTGATTATCAGATTGATAAAGATATGTGTAACGAGATTTTAAATTCATATAACTATATAGTCGCCGAATTTTAAAGTTATAATTTACGCGTTTCATTAACTTTTATGAGAATTTATAGCCACATAGACAATTCGTATCGTTCATAATTGTTTCTTTCGTCATCTTCTATGCGTGGATAATATGGAATCAAAGCGTCTTGAGCGCCAATGTATAAATTATTATATATCTTCCAATAAATCTCTCGAACCTTTCGCGCAGGATGGAACAAACCCTAAATAAATAAAAGAAATTTTGTGTAAATGACTTATAGAGGGTATTTTAGAATTTTATACCAAACTAACCTGTAAGACATATTGTAATACTGTAGTTGGACCAAGTGCTACTCTTAACCCTTCAATAGCTTCCATTACAGCATTTATAACGTGAGGAGAAGTCTCAAAGATATTTGGCCAAACGTAATTTAGCAAATGAAGAAGAGCATCCTCACATCCTAATCCAAAAACTCCAAGTGACATATCTATTATAGGAATTTTATGAAAGTTAAAAAATATAAATTTTTGAAATTCTTAATCAATTTTAAATAAATATTATTTATACCATAAAAGACACCTACGTTTTACAGTAGTGCACGCAGTTTGTCTATGCACTAAATCACGGTCCATTAATGCATCTTCCAACAACGGCGTAACGGCGTAAATATAGTCTTTTCCCATCTCTCCAATATATTCAAATAGGAACGAAAGTGACTAAATGCACCATTTAATTATAAAAGTTAAAGTTTTGAATGATTTAATCTGACTACTTTAATAAATGTAAAATAAATAAATAAAAACCTTAAGAACGCCATTTTGAACATTTAATTCAGGAACACGATATTCATTCATTAACGCGGGTAAAACGGTGAAAGGAGCGCAAGTTTCAGCAACGATAGCTATAGAAATTAATAAAGTTAATATAATATATAAAAATTGATTAACAATATTATATATGAATAAAAAAAATATACCTATAGCTACTGTTGTACAAACTCTATTTTGACGCTATAAAAATTTATGAGTATTATATTATTATATTATTTTAACAAGCGATAACGACAAAAATAATTACCTCTTGAACTTTTAAATTATTTAATAAAGTTGCTAAAACATCCTGTGGACCAATCGCCTTCGCAATATAACCAAAAGTATTTACAGTAGCTCTTCGTATTCCTTTTTTGTGAGCCTTAAGCATGTCCAATAATTCAAAGCAAATTCGCATCCATTCTCTAGCACTGACAAATTCTGCACCACGATCTGCTATACGGCCAACAAGATCAATACATGATTCTTGAACCTTTTCATGTCTATTCTTAAGGATGGGAGTAAGTCTTGGAAGAAGATCTTTAATTGGAGGTGTCATACTGGACATCCCAATTACATTAACTATAGATTTCAAGCCTCCTAAAATAGAACCAAGTACTTCTGGATATTCCTCTCCCAAGTATTCATAAAGCACAACGCCAAGATGGCCCATAAGTTTTTCTTCGCCGCAAGTTTTCATGACGACTGCAATACGAGAAATGAGGTCAGCAGCTTGCTGACGTACTTTTGCAGATTTGTTATTAAGACGCCATAAAATAGTAGAAGTAATTTGTTGCAAATAAGGTTTAACGCGTAAACCCAAAGCATTGACCACAGTACCAAACCCATTTAGCATTACAATATCTTCCACAGTTTGCTCTTGAAAAGCGTATAAAATACCATCAATCAATACTTCTTCTAGACGAGTATCAATATCAGCAGCGCCTAACTGACTCACAACTTTCTCGACAGTTTCCATAACCATTTTTCTGTATGGTTCTGATTCATCCTTTAAGTCTTCTACAATTCGACCTACAATTTCTGTTACACCAACCTTTTGAGCCAATTCCACTGTTGTTTCAACTACTTGGCGGTAATTACGACGATCAAGAGCCATTCTGCGAACCCAAAAATTCTTGAAAAATTCAGGAAGAATTTCTTCTTTAATATAATGTGGCTGTACACCATCAGTGGCAGCACATTGTTTTACGACTTTAAGAACGATTTTTTTCATCTCTTCGTCAGGAGATTGAAATTCTCGAATTAATATGATCATGACCTCTTTTGTATAATAATTGGCATATTCAGCATCCATAAGTGGAATTATATACCCGATAGCTTTTAAAAAGGCGGCTAATCCTTTTCCACGATGTTTTCGAATACCAGTCCAAAGAGGTTTGAGAACTGAGTCAAAAGATTCAATACCATAGGGTGCTGCGGCTTCAGCTAAAGCAGCAATAGCTAAAGCAGTAATTGTTCGTACTTTTTGTTGCTCATCTTCCAAACCATGAGCTATAGCTTCTACTAAATTTTTAAGATGTGGCAAAACAGCACATCCCATCAATATAGCAATTTGCTGAACAATTTTTATACCAGTATGTCTTGCTTGCCAAGATTTTTTGCTTTTACATACAGCCTTTAAAAATGGAAGCAAAGCAGGAATACCGTGCGCAGAAGCTACTACAGAGAAAGCACGGGCGGTTGTATTACGAACATATTCATCAACATGATCAATATCTGGTCTCATAGTAGCTATCATAGTTGGTAAACCAGCAGCTTTACTAAGATTACTTATAATTTCACGTCCCTCACATCGAGCAAAGTAGTCTTCATCAATTAAGAGAGGTTCGATAACCACAAGAATTTTATGAACGTACGGACGAACTAGCGCATCTAATTTATACAATATACGATCGATAACTTTAACTAATAAATGTCGTTCTTGATCTTCCAAATTTTGTGACATAAGCAGTGGAAGAATTTGATTAAAAAGAGGTCCTGCTCCAAAGTCTCTTGCCTTATCTGTAATCTGTCGAAGCGCAGTTTTTCTCATCGGAGGGGTTCCATTCTTGATTTTTAAAAGTAAACGCATAATTTTGCGTTCTTTTAATTCTTCAACAGACAATTCACTTTCATCTTTGTCTTCTAGTAGTTTGCCAAAATGTTGCATATCTTCCTGCTTAAAGAATGGCAAATTGCCTACACCAGGAATTTCTGCTGGTAAATCATAATTTTGTGTTCTATCTTCCTCCAGCATCACAAACCCATCTACCATTGGAGTTGGAGTTGCCATTAATTTTCGAGCGGGAGTTCTAATAGGAACATATCCTGCTGGCGGATCTAGGATCTTGTAACCTGTTGAAGGGAACATAGCATCAAGTTCCTCATCTGAAAGAGGCCTATTACGAGCATCTAAATCTTTTTCCCAACGTTGAGCTGTAATTTAAAATACAAATATATTATTATATAGGATCGTGGGCCGTTAATATGAAAAGATATAAAATTGACCTACCTTCTGGAGTCATAGGCATTAAATGACCAGGTGTTGGGGTGAGAAGTCCTAAGTTACCAACGGGTGTGGCTCCAATTTGAGCGACTGGATGTGTAGGGGTTTCGTCCCAACGAGATTTCTTAGCCGAAACTTGAGGAGTTACATCCCACCTGCTTCTTTTGCGAGGAGTATCCATTTCAACGTCTCCAGATATTCTAGGAGTCTCATCCCATCTACTTTTTCCAACAGATGATTCATCATCGGCTTTTGACCATTCTGACGTTTGTTTGACATCCACAGGTGTTTCCATATCCCAACGTCGCTTTTTTTGCGTTGTGGCTTGTTCTACTGTAACCTCTTTTGCTTTCTTTTCAGCTTCCTTTTTCTTTTTCTCAAGTTCACGCATGATACGTTGTTCTTCTTTTTCTAACTCAGCTTCTCGCATAACATCAGCATAGGATCGTGACTCGTCTTTACTTTCATTTTCAGCGAATGGATCATTCCTTTCTGGTGAAATGGCTCGATTCAATCTACGAGCATGGTATTCACTTTGTCTATCTACAATGCGACGGGAACCAGTACGTTGTAAAAAGGGATCAACTTCGTCGTCACTACCTATCAGATCTTCATAAACTTCTGCGGGAGCTGTATATGAAGTAAGACGCTTAGTTTGCTGTTGGCTCAATTCGTCTACAGAATTAAGAAGCTTATTTAGTCATTTGTTTAAAGTCCCATAACATTTAATTTATTTAACCGTGAAATCAGTTACCTATCTCCATTTTTTTTTTTCAAAAAGGTAAAATTTTTGTCGAGAAAAAAAATATTACCAATTGAATGTTGATTTTATTAATTACATAAGCTGAAAACTCGTGATGCTTATTAATATCTATATATAAATGACGCGAGCGCAGTAATTTTGATTCTTTCAATGGCTAGACCCCGAAAGCAACGCAAGATACGCAATCCATCACTAAAAGTTTCGCGTAAAAATGCAAATAAACATTTCAAAAGAGTTCCAATAAAAGTCATTATTGATTTATTATTCAATTAATTTGCTTGGTATTTAAATATGGCCTGATTCGTAAATTTTTTCTGTCCCATAGGGGAATTCCATTATTGCAGCTAATTGGGATAAAAAGGCTACTTTACGCCAAAAGTATTTAATTTAAGCGAGTTATTTCATCTTTAAGAACTTAACCTGTCGTTTTATTAACGCATTTCTCTCGTTTAACACAAAGTTATCATCGTATGGGCCTTATGACGTCTCTAAACGGCGTTTCGGGTGGCGTTGAGAAGTTATATCCTGATAAGGCTCAAGAAATAGATTTAGAAGTAATAAAGAAATCGTTAGGTCCTGAAGAAGGTATAATAGAACGAGACGAAAAAGGTAATGTCATCAATGTAACTATTGGACGGTCTCGAGAAGAGGAGGAAGAGGAAGTGTTTGATACCGAAATCGACCCAGTTCCCGCAAAAACGGATATTATTAAAGGTGTGACATTTTAAAAGTATGGTTTTTAAATTACATATTGAGTAATCTTGTAATGATGTATCAAATTAAGCTTTGGAAGCTCAAGCTGCAAGCGTTTTTAGCAAACACGAAAGCTATCAATCTAACGGAGAAAAACAGTTTATAGAAGAACTGATTCAAAAATATGGCGATGATTATGATGCTATGTTTAGAGATATAAAGCTTAATATATATCAACATACAGCGGCTCAATTAAGAAAAAAATGTCAAAGATATCTGAAAAATAAACAAACAATTTAAAATTACTATAATAAATATTTATTATATTCTGTATCTAATAATCATTTGCAATGATAAAGCATATTAAGTTCTTTTATTTTAAGTAATTTGATTAAAAAGAAATATATAAATCATCTTGAATGTTATTTTTTTCTCTCACGTTAGCTTTAAGCCTGAGTTTGAGCTTGAGCTTGAGCTTGAGCTTGAGAAGATGCGGTCAGTCTTTTTCTAGCAAGTTGCCTGCTATTAAGTCGTCTTTGAACCTTAGTATTATCACTTTCACGTTTTACTTGAGCAGCTTCTTCAGTAACGATGATTTCTATATGGCATGGACTACTCATGTAAGGATTAATACGCTAAATAAATTGTAAAGTGAAAAAATAAATAAATAAATCTTCGTAATGTAAATAAAATCAAAAATATACATATATATTAAAAATATTTACACCATGAGCTCTGTAGGTTCTTCGTCTTTGCTTAGGAGCTTGATTCACTTGGATGTGAGAGATGATTAAATTTTCTATATCCAATTCTTTAACCTGTTTAAATGATCGTGTGAATACGTGAATACACACATATACATGAAAAAAAAATTATTATACAAATCGAACCTCCGCATTACTTCGAACATTTTTTAAAAGTCCTAATAGAAATTCAGCACTCTTTACGGGCCATCGACCTATTTTTATGATTAAATTAAAATTTTGAAGTTATAAAACAAAAATCTACGACAATGATAACTCTTACCTTGAGTACAGCCAAAAGCTTTGGCCTGAGCACAACGACCAACGCCACCGTGGAACCGTCTAAAAGGAACAGCCTGCTTATGCTCTTTAACATCATTGAGGTATTTAATGGCATAAGTTAGTTTTTTTCCAGATATTGCCTTGGCAGTCTCGCGCGTATTCTTGAAGTGAACTCGTAAATAAGAACCACGAGTCTTTGCGTCTAAAAAATTTAATAATAAATTTAAATTAAAATATTGCCAAATGCAAAGATTCTTCTCTCCCATGCAAATACTTAGAAGCTAACATTCAATAGGATTCAGTAGGAAAAGTAAACATACACTTCGTTGCTTCTTTGGGTTCAGTAGAATATCTAACCATTTTCAATAATATAGTCGAAAGAAAATAATTTGATCTTTTTGATGTAAAAAAATTTTGATCTTCAATAGATTATGATTGGCCATCAATTTTGCAGATTTGTGTGATGCGGAATCTCTAGTACAGTACTTTTTATCGTGTTCAAAAAATGGAAGGAAGTCAAAAAGAAATAAATTTGTGCTTATTAGACGCAATTTCTGTTGAAAATGTTTCTCTTGTCGAACAACTTTTGGAACAGGGTGCAGACGTATGGTTCAGAGACGAAAAGGTACCAATGAAAGCAATACTTTAAAATTGAAGGTTTCTTTTTTTTAAAAAAAATAAATGCCAACAATAGGGAACGAGTCCGTTGCATTTCGCATGTTCAAAGGGTAATTTAGAAATTGTTAAGCTGTTACTTCAAAATGGTCATGCCTGGAATGCTATTGACAATGAGGGAAGCACAGCTGGAGAATATGCTAAGCGTAAAGGTCACAATTTGGTTTATGAGTTGCTTCTTGAAGAGGGTTGTAGAGCTGAATTGATACTCGGTATTTATTTAAAAATTTTTTTTTTAAAAAAAATTCATTTGTATTTTACGCTATAATAAATAAATATTTATGAGCAAAACGATTGGCACAAAGGGTTACTTAACTCGAAAACAGAAAAGGACGAACAGCCTTCAAATATTAATTTCCTGTTACAACCTCTGAAGTACTCACCAGATGGTACAAAATTACTTGATTATGAAAATAATGGAGTCATGATGGGATGGGAAAAACCTTTAATGGAAAAACATGCCGAAATTATATGCATTAGAGAAGGTCTTGATATTTTGAATGTGGGATTTGGTTTAGGACTAATAGATACCGCATTTCAAAAATATAAACTTCGTAGTCATACAATAATTGAAGCTCATCCAGATGTTTATAAATTTATGATGGACCGGGGTTGGAACAATAAACCCGGTGTAAAAATAATTTATGGCCGTTGGCAAGATGTTATAGACCAACTTGGTACTTATGACGGCATATTTTTTGATACATTCGGGGAATATTATGAAGATCTACGTAAATTTCATGAAATATTGCCAAAACTTCTCAAATTTGATGGAATATATTCATTTTTCAACGGATTAGGTGCTACTAATACGTTTTTTCATGATGTTTATTGTCGTATAGCAGAAATGCATCTAACAAGTGTTGGATTGCAAACAGAGTATATTGAAATTTCAATCGATCCTTCTAACGATAAAATATGGGAGGGAGTCAAAAGACGTTATTGGACTTTAGACACGTATAGATTGCCAAAATGCCAATTAATGTTGGAAATATAAATTTTGTTTATGATAACTTAATTATCGACCACATAAATGTCTTTCGCACTATTCAACCCAAAGGCGTAATTATATAGACGACTGTCAATCCATATTTCTTCAGAATGCTGTTGTTGCAACTCTAAATACAAATAAATGTTCAGTTAGTAATAATTAGAATATAAATGTTTTTTAATAGAATGTATTCTGACTTTGCAACGCATCGTATAGATTATCTAGAGGAATTTTAAGCACTTGCAAGCTCCATTCATCGTCTTCCAACTTTTGTTTAGGGTTGATGTTTTCAATAGATGTTAGATCAATCTTTAAGTAACAAAAAAAAAATAAAAATAAAAATAAAAAAATTGAATTAAATTCAAAAAATTTCATAGCAACTTGAGTATATTACCTCTACATCAACAACCTTGGTTAATGAATCAGTCAACCCTGGTTCATAACAAATGGGTTCTGATATTCTTTTTATTTTACCGTGGTATCCCGTTTCTTCACGAAGTTCACGAAGCGCTGCAGCTTCCACTGTTTCATTGTCGTCAATTAAACCTGATGGAAATTCAATACAATATCTTCCAACGGGTGGTCGAAATTGAATCACCAAAATAATTTGAGGCGGCTTATTTACTTCCCGTATGATTGCATGTATGTCAATGGCTAAAATCAATTATCACTTTTTAATTTAATAATAAACTTAGTATGTTAACTTGTAAAGAAATTTGCCCATAATTTTACCGTCGACATTCTTTTTATTCTCAGTTGTACAATTTTTTCTCTTACACAGTTCCCATTTTCTTATTGCTTTGGTATTCGGATCAATGTATTCGATTTCCTGTAATTCTAACCAGCTGCCATTACCAAGTTTCTTAACTTTGCCTGTTTCAATTTTATGAAATACTATATCGTATATACCTTTTTCTGCCATTTTTGAGGAGGCAAATAAAAATCCGAGTTTATAGATAGATGGAAATTCACGTGACACGTATATCTGTATTTAATAAGTGAATCGAGAAATATTTTTGTCAAAAACTTCTTATCATGTCCGATTTAGTATCCTATATAATTTGGGAAAAGGTACTTGTAAATCACTGTCGTTATTTTTTTTTTTTTACCAATCTGTTATTTATATGTTGCGACCATAGCAAGAAGGACAATTATGTGCTCAGCACTGTTTAAATTCTCTTCTTCAAGGTATATAGATTTTATTTTTTTATTTTATTTTATTTATTTTATTTTTTACAATTATAAACAATGTTTATTGGAAATGTTCTTATTATAGGAGAATATTTTACTGCTGTTGATTTAAGTGAAATTGCTAGAAATTTAGATCAGGCGGAACAAGCTGCTTTACGTGAAGGGACCACTGAACAACACGAGGACAACCGAAATGCTAATGCAAGCACAAGCCAAAATATGGATGATTCCGGTATTTCATCAAAATTCATTTTAAAATTGGTCAATTTTCTGTATTTTATTAAATTATTTGTTTTATACAGGTTTCTTTTCTGTCCAAGTACGTAATACATTAATTTATGATTATCATAGATTTGAATTTTAGTTTTATTATTATATTTTTTCATCCTTTAATGCATTCATTTCATTTTATTTTATGTAGGTATTAAGCCATGCATTGAAAGTGTGGAATATTGGTAATTCATAAAATTTATAATAAATAGTGCATCCAATACTATATATTTAGTAGTCCTTATTAATCACAAAGTGACTTGATTTAATCATAGATATAATACCAATTGGGTCTGAAGATGGCCGTATAGCAAAGATTCATCCAGAGTATTTATTAAAATAAATATGGTATTCATTGTTTTATGTGTTTTTCATTACTATTGGTTAAAATACCCATGTATCCGGTTTCTATCTTTTCTCCTCTTATATTGTAGGGATGAATTAGCATACATATGTAATTTGCATGAACATTGGTGAGTCGAATGAATTTTTGATTATTTATATATAAAAGCTTATTATAACACACATACACATATATTTTTAAAAAAGGTTTACTCTTAGGAAATTTGGTGGATTATCATCACGTTGGTACAATCTAGACTCCCTTTTACGTGGACCAGAAAGCATCAGTCAGACATATTTGGGAATGTTGCTTAATCAATTGGAAAATGAGGGTAAATAACATGTAATAACATTGTTATGGGTGTCCCGCATTTTTTCTCAAAAATAATTATGTTTATAATTTTTACGTACTTAAGGTTATAGCATATTTGTGGTAAAAGGACAGTTACCTTCAAGTCAAGCTGATGAATATAGCAAATCTCTTCCAGATCCTAATTTACATCATATTCAAAAGAATCGACAAAATATAGATGAAATTGATCAAGCAATGATTGACGCTGCTATTGCAGCAAGTTTGGAAAATGATGTTAGTAATGATTTAATGAAACCTTTTGAACAAAATTCTGGTGGTGAACCAATATCGTCTACAACTACCGAACAACCAACCATTGATGAATTGCGAGCGAAAAGACTTGCTAAATTTGATCGTGTTGGTGGGAATTGATAATTTTTTTATCTATAAAAATATACTTTTTGCTAAGCAAAGAATTTAAATTTAATTAATTTCCCAATTAAGAAAAATGATTTGATTTTAGCCGGAACTATATTACGATCGGCTAAATTGATTTTAAGTATGATTAACCTTTTTGGATCTGACTAAAATCCATGTCATAAGATAATAATTAAAAAAATGTAACAATGATGCTGTATAAAAAAAGATTGTTATTTACCTTTAATTAGTTCAGATTGTCATAATCTTTCTGCACGATAATTGCAGTTTAAACTTAAAGTGTGAAACATATATGCCATGGAGATCAATGATCACATTTGCATCGGCATTAGGTGTAACATCCAACTTACATAAAACTCCGAATCCCTTCAGAAATCCTTAATTTCTCGACTTTTTTATTAAATTATACAGCAACTTTATTACGATGGATAGTTTTCAATTATGTAAGAACGAAGTAAACCAACCACAATCATTACAATCTGGTGAATATCAATCATCTAAAACAGAAAAATTTGCATCATTACAAACGTCCACTACTATGTCAATCGTTTCTTCAGTGTCAGAACAATTACAAACTTCACAATATTCAACTATCAATAAGTCTGAGGTTTGTATTAGCACACCGTCTTCGCGGAAAAGGATTTCAAGAAACGCAGAAGCACCTAATGTAATTTGGAAGCCGCTGCTTCCGCGACCACCAACTCCCGTTGTACCTGCTAAGCGGCGATTACCAACACCACCACCTGTAATTTCTTCGGCTCCTGGAACACCACCAATAGAAGAGGATTCTAACTCACCGCCAGCAGATACAGATACACCTTCAACTGTAAAATCGGACTTAATGCCGATGCTATTGGAGGCAGCTGCGCATGCCGCTCTCCGAGATAAGCGTCAAGAACGTATGGTTAAAAATCGAGCTGCAGCTTATGAAAGCCGTAAAAGAAAGAGAGAAGAAGCTGAGAGATTGATGGCTGAAAATTTGGAAATGAAATCTCATATCCGCGAGTTGCAACATAAGATCGCGGAGCTAACTGTAGAAAATGAACAATTAAAACAATTACTCGCAACAAAAAATTAGAAAATTATCAGCGAGATTTCGATATCTTACATTATTGAATTTTAGAATTATGAATTCTTAAATTCTTTGTATTTTACTTTTCAATTTGTATATTTTGTATTATTTATTTGATCGTTGTTAGATAGAGTGATGATAATTTTTAGTTTATTTTTTTTTATTTTTCCCTTCATGCACATGCACACCTGTCTCTTATACACATCTAGATGTGTATAAGAGACAGGTTAGATAGAGTGATGATAATTTTTAGTTTATTTTTTTTTATTTTTCCCTTCATGCACATGCACACTTCAAATCATGTTTTGGCATATAATTTTTCCCGTGTATATTTGATGTGCTTGCTTATTTATTTTCTTTTCCAGATATTAAATCACTTACCGGGTAGCATAAATAAAAGTTTTAACCACATTATAATGATGTTTTTAATGCCTATGTTGTGTTACCCTCTACATGTAATAATGAAACCACAGAATTTAATCAATTTCTATAAATTATAGTGTCCAAATGAATAATTACATAATTACCAATGATATAAAAATTTGAGCAGATTTTATGCATAAATATTAATAAAAAAATATTTTCTTCCACAAGAATTCCAAAACTAAAACTGATATAAAAATAATATACAAAGTATCGAAAATTCTAATAATTATGGATGTATTACGGATAATAATAGGGAATCATAATGAATTTCAAACAATGTCCAAATCTTTGATAAATCATTATAATTTTTAGTATTTATTCGGTATCTCTACGCCGATTCCTAGCAGCTCGAGGTTGCCTTGCTTGTACTGGCGGTATTGTTGATGCAGCTAAAGGAACATCATCGTCTTCGTCATAATCATCTTCTGTTTGTATATATGGTCCATAACTTTCGTGATAAGAACCTCTGTGTCCGGGATCCAAATATTGTTGGCTTCCCAAAAATCTACTTGACCTTGGATCTCCTGGAGGTCCAAAATGAGACTGTCGATGCAAGAAATCTCTTTCTCTTTCAACCATCATAGCTTGTTGTCGCTGTTCCATTAATCTGCGTTCTCTTTCTCTTTCAAATGCTCTCTCTCTTTCTAATTCCGCCTGTCTTGCCAATATCGAAGGTCCCATAGCTTTTCTTTGATTTTCTCTTGCAGTAATGGCTCCAACTAATCCTGTTTGTGGGTCTTTTTGTCTCTCCGGTAAATTAATTAAAGGTGTACCCATTTCTTTAGCCAGCATTTCTTGTTCACGAGCTGAAAGCTGAGATTGCGATATAGAATCTATCAAGCTCACTGGTCGATAATGATTTGGGTGATCATCATATCCATCATCCAAATATATGGATTCTCGTGCATAATCTAATTGCCCACCACTTACACGCCTTCGACCAGCCATCATTTGTCCAGGGTTCATCATTGATCTAGGTCGTCCTCCAACCTTCATATAATCATCATCATAATACTCACCACCTCGAATTTGTGGTGGCATCATTACACTCCGCCTGTTGTCTGTTGATAGATACATGTTATCCACATAATCACTTCCCGATCCCCATCTCTGGTTAGGTGGGTAATTTGGAGATACTGACCTAGGTGGGTAATTTGGAGATACCGACCTGGGCGGAGTATTGAAATTTGGCCTGACAAAATTAGTATTTAATCCACTTCCTTCCTCAACTAATGCAGCCAATGGCTCATCTGATGTTGATGACTGGTTATTCTCAGAATCATCACTACTACTATCACTCGATTTACTTTTAACATGCCTTGTCGTATTCTTTAATTTATCTTTTTGCTTTGTTGGCTTAAATACTTTTGTTGTCCTGTTCAAAACTTCATCGTCATCGTCATCATCAGAAGGTATGTTTTTCCCTTTTTTACTATCCTTTGTTTCAATTGCAGGTTCATTTATAGTATCAAAATTCAACGCGCTAATATCTATATCTAAACCACCTATTTCAAATTGATAATCATCTTGTTGACTGCTAAATTCCTTTTTGTTGCTTTTTATAGTATCTTTAACATTGGTATCATTCTCTTGTTCACTATCTGCTTCTTCAGATGTAATCGGCTTTTTCCCTTTTGACCTTCCACGAAACTGTTCATCAGTTACATTTCCACTAGGAAGTATGTTACGACTACGTACAGGATTTCTTCTTGGTGTAACTATTCCTTCTGGATCGTTCTCAAAGTTTCCTTGAGGATGTAAAGGTTGTTGAATTTGTGGATAATTTTTATCTGCATATTGGTTGGTTGAACTAATACCGCCACGAGGCTGCTTTGAACCAGGCCCATATTGTCCATAGGGAGGCGATTGCCGATAAGGTTTTTGTTGGAGTTGTGTATTCATTTTTTTTTTACCACTATCACTCAATTCTTCATTATCATCACTACTATCAGATGGCTGTGGTACAACCCTTGTCTTTTTCTTATTTCCTTTACCCGGTTTGTTAATAGTCTGGCTAGATTTAACATTTTTATTTAAACTAGAATCTTCGCTACTATCTTCCTCGCTATTGTTTTCATCGCTATTAGATTCATCATCACTATTACCACTTTCTTCGCTATCAGATGGAAGTGGAGCAAGTCTTCGTTTAGCTTTACTTTTTTGTTTGGCGGTGTGATTTTTGAACGAAACACTTCTTTTAGGTTTAGATTTTTTTGTTGAAGTATCCTCTTGAATAGATTCATCTTTACGCTCAGCTACAGCAGTCATAACTTCAGACATAAAGTCACTATCTCCAAATGTTCCAAAGCTACTTCCAAAGCTAACAGACTCATCTGCTTTAGCCTTTAATAATTCTGCTTCAATTTCTGCGGTAATTTTCGCATTTTCCTGTGTATTTTTTAAGAGTGTTGGGTCATCGTTTTCGTCATCATCATCATCAACATCATCATCATCAGATTTCCCGCTTTCACTCTGTGAATCTCCTTGCTGATCTTCCGATTCATCGCTACTGGCCAATTGTTTAGCTCTTTTACCTCTTCGTTTGTTCGATTGAGTAACTTGAGACGACGATGAATTTGAACGGTTGGTATTATTAGTAGTTGTAGGTGAATGTGGTGATATGGGGGTAATCGAAATTGGACTCCTTTGAGAACCTCCGGTCAGGGATACCATGGAATTAGGACGTGAAGTTTGATTTATAGGTTTCAATGTAGACGGAGAATTTGAACTAGGTGTTGAAGAATTAGATTCATTTGAAAAGGTCCTTTGGCGATCATAATTATCCGATAAACCATCGGTCACAATCTGAGGAAGATTATGTGCACTTGTTTTCCTTGAGGATTTTTGATTTACATTTGGAGGTGGTTGTTGAGAATTATCATGTAATTGTTGTTGTAAATTATAAGATTGACGTAAAATTTCAGCGAATGCAGCTTTTACATCCGCTAACGATTCACGTATTTCAATATGTTTTACTTCGGGAAGATCTAAAAATAATTTAGTATTACTTCTACCAGTTGGCACGGCAAAAAATGGTGATACTGGATTTTTAAAATCATATAATAATTCTTTTGGTCTACCATATAATTTGAAACTATCAAAAAAACCAAAAAGCCATTTTGACATTTCATTAAGTGAATCAGTTGTCAAAATAACAAAATCACCAGGTTTATTTTCAGTCGGCTTTGTAGGAAATAAAGTACCTTCAACACAGAAAGTGGCCGTTTTATCTATGATAGCGGGATCTTCAGGATAAATCGCGTAAGTTTGAAGAACATTTGCTAAAGTCATGAATGGTTTTTTTGATTTTTTTGATTCATAAAACAAAGCTTGTCCTCTAGTAAATGACAAATCTTTTTTCTTTTTATCTTCAACGCGATGATCCGCTACAACAACCCAATAAGTTTTAGGTTCAAAGTTACCAGCAAATTGCACTTGAAGATTACCTTCCAGTTTACCCTTTACTAACACAGATCCATTACCAAAATCTTTCAATCCAGGACGTTTAATTAATGTTGCTGTGAAAACTTCCTGTAATCTTGATCTTTCAAAACATGATAAACGGATTGCATTGACCCATAAATTTAAAGTATTATTATCTGAAGCTTGTAAATATAATTTTTCACCTTGAATTAAATAAAGAAAAAACACGTGCATACGTTGGGATACATTATTATCTTCTAGAATAGATAGATCTACTAAACAATTAGGTAAATTTAATATAAGAGGAGCCTGGGATACTTCTGGTGTTTCAGAGTCGTGATTATTCGCTATCTTCCAAAAACTTAGAACAGGACCACACAATTCCACGTAATATTCTATCCAGTCATCGCTCGAATTAGTGCTACCTTGGTTATTAATGATATCTTGCTTACACAAATAACCTTCCATATATATTTTCCGTGAAAAAATATCAAAAAGATGTAAGACAGGTCGCATATCAGGAGTTACTTGATCGCCCTGAAAAGAAGGTCTTCGTGGTCTTGGTTTTTTTAAGGTAGCCGGACGAAGAGTGGTCGATCTCGGTCCAGGCCCAGTACTATACCTTTCTGATGTCCTTTTTGAACCCGTATTCAAGTTTTTTCTTGTAGATTCTGCCATCGTACTCGAATCGGAAATCTGTTGTTTGATTTGAGTATAGATACTCTGTATTTCTTTTTTTGTAAAGGACGTTGTGGAGCTGGTAAAGATGACCAGCTACTTCCTGCTAAATGAAAGCTCAAGCTATGAAAAAAGAGAAAAAAAAAGGGTGTATATTATGGTTTTTATGGTTTTTTTTTATAAAAAAATATTTTAAATATAATTTTTTAAGTTGGATTTTATATCAAACCTGTACTGTAATGTGAGTCTGTGGTCACTTTCAGGTTTAGTGCATATCGTTAATTACGTTGTTGACTAATTTTATTAAATAAAAAATGATTCGTTAAATTGTGGCAGTGGCATTTGTACAAACAAAAAATAAACTCATCTTCAATTTCTACTACATTTATATAATTATTTTAAAATTTTCATTATAACGGTATTAAAACTGTAATTTTTATTGTAATTATTGGACGAATTACGACTTATAAATACCCGTATTCAATTTCAAACAAAAAAAGTAAAATAAAATCAATATATATCAATAATAAAAATATTTCTCCATTGTTTTGTTTCCTTACAATGCTACATTAGTTTTTTACGTGCGCGTTTTTATATAAAAAGCGTTAAAAAATATTTCCGCAGCTTAAAAAGATTGACTGGTTTTTTTTATATTTATATATTTTGCAAGTATAAATTTATAAATTAAATTAATAAATAGCTTACTTACTTAACTGGTTTAGTGATCGTTCTCCCCATTGCAAAAATAAATACTCCCTATACAGAATGTGGTGCCACATTGATGTCAGTTTGTTGACAATGTATAACTAAACCCTCCTTCCAAAATTCATTTCATCAGATATATCAAATATAATTAATATAATTGTATTATATTGTTGCAAAATTTATAGTATTAACATAAATGGGTTGCCATGACGCTAATGGCATAAAACATGGCACATATCCGATTGCAAAAAAAAAAAAAAAATTTTGTAATACCTTATTTTTAATATATAATGTACAGTGATTTTAACTTTATTACTATACTACTTATTATTTTCGACCTCTCCTTTTTTTTAAAGTAATATTTGCTTCGTTACTTTTAGCAAATAATAATAAAAAAAAAAAAATAAAAAAAAAAGTTCGTTGTAGCAATGTCAAGACTACCAAAATTACCTACGGTTAGCGGAATACCGTCTTCGGGTCTTCCTTCTCCAGCAGCAAAACGTCGTCCATCAACTGGCACTACAGGAAAATCAACACTTGCCCTGACTCCAGAACAGGAAGCGCTATTACAAGCGGCAATGGAAAAATATAATCCAACGCCAGCTACCGAGTCGAATGAGAATAATCAAACTAGCTCTATCTCAACACTTGGAAATAGTCAAGCTAATTCATCACACTCAACGCCAGCTACGAATAATACGAATAACCAGTCAAATAGAAAACTTGGAAAAAAAACAAGTTTTACCAGAATGACGCGTCCAACACTTCCACCATTAACAGAAAAATCAGCTGCTATAAAACAAAATTCAACAATACAACAAACTCCTCACACAATGTCATCGAAATTAAATAATTCTGGATTGCCTGCATCAAATTTATCTTCACCACTTCAACGTTCACTTTCAGGCCAAAATTCAACGTTGTCTTCGGCATCAAATCCCACTCATCAACGGTTACAGGCCATGGCTGCATCTCAACAACGTCCAGCTTCCCCTTCACTTTCCTTATATTCAATAGGTGAACGAGTTACTGTTGAGTCAATGAATATTTCAGGTACATTAAGGTTTTTAGGCCCAATTGACAATAAGTCTGGAACCTGGGCCGGAATAGAAGTAGATGTTCCAGGAACAGGTAAAAATGATGGGAGTGCTTTCGGGTAAGTTTAATTATTTTAAAATTGTGAATTAAATAAATTACTAATTAAATATTATGTATATGAGCAATTATTTAAAGAAGAGATGAAAAAAAGTTATTTTTTTACACATATTTATCATTAATGATTTATTTTTATTTTATCTACTTTATGTTGAAATTATTTTATTATTAGAAAATCCTACTTTACTTGTCCTCCAAACTCGGGTATATTTACTCTTTCATCAAAGCTTACCAAATCTAAAGAAGCTGATGATATACCAAATTTACCACAAATCCCTTCAATTAACAAATCTTCTAATACCATACCACGACCACCTTCTACTTCAAGTAATTCAAGTGAAAAAGCATCATCTGGTATACCATCATCTTTGGCTACACCAAATTTATCAAAACATGCTCAAAACGCAGCTATTGCTGCTGGTCGGATCACAGCCGGTTCTCGTGCTTCAAGGTATATTGGTGTCACAGCTTCCCAACTTAAACAGAGAAAGCCGTCGACTGTGTCCTCAACTCCTGATACTGCTCCTAACGGACAAACGACTCCGTCTAGGACTAAACCAACGCCGACACTAGGACTCGTGAGACCTGGTTCTCTTCAAAGTTTAAAGTCACCATCCACACCTCCAACTAATGGTAGACAATACCGCAACAGAAAAGATTCATCATCATCCACTGGATCGACTGTTTCTAAGGCGTCAGGTCTACCTCGTTCACGATCTGTTACACCGAACCCTCCAAATGAATCGCAGCACACTTCAGATAGTGAGAATACTATAACAACAGGTATTAAAGAAGAAATGAGTAACAAATCACTTCAAGAAAAAGTCCAAAAATTACTGAGCGATCCTGATACCTCTGACAGTGTTCCCTTGAGTCTTTTTGATCAGCAAGCTCTTCGAATTCAACAACTACAAATGAAAATCGAGGTATTGGAAACCGAAAATACATATTTAAAACTTGATAACAAGAAATCGTTCACTGATACATCAGCTGGAATTCGAAGTTCTGATCAATGGGAAAAAGAGAAAAAAGCTCTTTTGGAAGAAAGAGATTTAAAAGAAAAAACTTTGAATGATAAAATATCAGATTTATCCAGGCAACTTCAAGAGGTTGCGAAAGGACACCATCATAGACCAAGTACTTCATTGTCAATGATCGCCGATGATGATAACATGAGTGATAAAATATTACAATTGACTGAGTTGATTGAACAAAAAGATGAACATGTCAAATCACTTGAAGAATCTCTTAACAAGGTAAATAAACAATCTAGTGAGTACCAATTAAAGATCAAAGAGCTTGAAAAAGTTGCACAAAATGAAGCTTCAGATCGCATTTCCCAGTTAGAAAAAGATATCCAAGGTAAAAAAAATGAAAATGATGAATTAAATTTAAAGTTTGACCAATACAAACTTGATTCAGAAAGTAAAGTAAAATCTTTACAAAAAACCATTGACGAGCTCAAGGCAGCAGGTCAAGAAACAATGAATATTTACGAAGAGAGAGTTTCTTCCTTGGAACAACAAGTTGAAGAATTAAAAAAGGCTGGTGTTGAAACAATAACTTTATATGAAGAGGCAACAGCTAGAATTGCTGAACGTGAAGATAAAATTAATTCATTGGAAAAGGAAGCAGAAGAATTAAGATCTGCTGGCGTAGAAGCAATAGATGTATATGAAAAAACAATCGAAGGAACCAAAAAGGAAGTTGAAGAATTGAAGAATCAATTAACTAAAAAGGAGGAAACTATTACAACATTATCAAAAGAAATAGATAAATTACAGCTAGTACAAAAAGAGTTGGCAGAAGCTAAAGTCAAATTGGAAATGAATGATAAACGAGAAGAAGGGCTTCGAAATGAATTAGCAGATTTACAGACTGGATTGGAACATATGATGCGTGCGGATGCAAAATCAAGAGAACGCATATATCAATTGGAAGATGATGTTCGTGAGTCACAAGCACTTGTTAATAGACAATTAGAGGAAATAAATGCTTTAAAAAATAATATGCAAAATCTAATGGGTGCAAATAATAATGAAGAAATCGAAAAAGTCAAGGCAGTTTTTGAGGGAGATACAAAGAGGCTACAAGATGAATTGGAAGAGTTAAGAAAGTTTTTATCAGAAGTACAAACTGAAAAACGTACTATTGTTAGTGAAGCGGATTCTTTAAAAGACGAGAAGAAAATGTTAGAGAGAAAACTGCAAGAGGGTGAACGCCAAAGAAACGATATATCCTCTGAATTAGAAGCTTTGAAAGTTAGTATAAAACGAAATGAAGATGAAAAAAATCAAATTACCTCTCAATTAGAAGAATTGAAGGTAAATGTAACTAAGGTCGAAGAGCAAAAAAATAAATTAATTCAAGAATCGGAAATGGAGAAAAAGACGCTTGTTGAAGAGCATGAAAATGCCAAAAGAGAGTTGATAGAAAGTCGTGAAATTGCAGAAAAGGAATTAACAGCTGCTAGTGAAAATGCCAAAAAAGAATTGATGGAATCACGCGAAAATGCTAAAAAAGAATTGATGGAATCACGCGAAAATGCTAAAAAAGAATTGATGGAATCACGCGAAAATGCTAAAAAAGAATTAATTGAAGCACGCGAAAATGCTCAAAAGGAACTCGAAGCATTACAGAAGCAACTTATTGATTTAACCAAGAAAGCCGAATATGCTGAACAACTGAAATCTGAATTAGAACTTAAAGCTCAAGAATTGAAAAAATTGTCTGAGGACTTTGAAGAAGTTAAGAATGAAAAGGAAAAATTAAAAGCTTCTCAAGAAGCACAAAATAATAGCGAAGTAAGCTCAACACAAAATCTTGAAGACCTCAAGATAGAGTATGAAAATAAACTTAATGTTTACAAATCGGAAAATGATCAATTAAAACAAAAGATTAAGGATTTGGCATTAGCTAATAAAAATATTCCTGATACCTTACGAAATACTACACAAGATTATGAAGAAAAAATTGTTGCGTTTGAAGAACAAATTTCTGGTTTGAAACATATAGTACATGAATTAACACGTGAAAATGTATCAATAGCTGGTGAAAATAAAAAGATATTGGCCGAACAAGAGAAATTAATGGAAGCCCACAAGCAGGTAGAAACCGAATGCCTTAAATTAATGGATGAATTAGAACGTTTACACAGTGAATCGCTCAACGGACAAGGCGTATTAAGTTTAACACCACCTGAAGATTCATTTAATATTAATGGAATTAAATCTGAAGGGAATCAAGAGAGTTCTGAGGATACTCAGAGTGGTGAAGCATCACTGCAGGACAATAACGGACAACAAACTGGTGGTGATTTATCGCGTCTTCAATCACTTTTAAACGAAAAACAGACACAATTAGAACGTTTGTCCTCGATGCATAATTCCGAAATACGCGAATTGCGCAAGAAAGTATCTGATTTAGAAAAATCAAAACAACGAGAAATCAACATGTTGAATAAAGATGTAGCTGAATTAGAATCTTTAATTGAAAGTAAAATATTTCGAGAAGCGGATTTGGAGGAAGAAATTCAACGTGAACAAAGAAATTCCAAACGATTAAAAGATGAAATTGAGGAATTACGAGAGCAAATAAACGAAATTAAGAGTTCAAATGGCGCAACAAATGTACTAGAAGCTACACTTGTCGGCGATGGTATAATTTCTAATAATAATTCTGTTAAACCGATCGAAAAGTTAAAGGAAAACGGAACTTCAGGCTTATACTGTGAGATTTGTGAACAAGAAGGTCACGATATAATCAGTTGCAAAGCAGTATTTGGCTCGAATTCGGCAAATATAACAGAAGATAAAGCAGCCAGTAATGGTATACATAATGAAAGCATTACCGAAGAAAAACCGGTGAGTAATATAGTTTTTAGTGTTTATTGATCTTCATTCAATATATTGAAAAAATTTTTCTTTAGTATTGTGATAACTGTGAAGAATTTGGACTTCATTGGACAGAAGAATGCCCAAATCAAGATGAGACATTTTAGATTGTTTCAGTTTGCAAGAGATATTTTAATAACTACGAAACTTTAATGTTTTAATTGTATTATTTAATGCCTTTTATTTATATATATATACGATTTGGAAAGTCTTTTGTGATAATATTTTTAAAAAATTATTTAAATTATTAGTTACTATCGTTTATTTTACCCTTTTACAATATATATTTATTTTTATTTTATTTTATTTTATTTATTTCATTTCATTTCATTTTATTTTATTTTATTTTATTTTATTTATTTTTATTTATTTCATTTTATTTCATTTTATTTATTTTTGCCAAATTGTATTATATTAACAATTATTTTATATTATTACTTATAATAGATTTAAAATTTTTAATTATTATTTAGTTTTAGTTTTTCAAACATAAATTTTCCATAAAAAAAAAATATATATAATGTTTATAAAATCTGCTAACAATCAATTTATTTATTTATAACAAAACTATATATATATATGTAAAATATAATAAAAAAATGTAATAATTTAATTACATCGTCTATATTTATAAAAGTGTGGTAAATTAAAATTATTATATTAATAGAGCATTAAAAAGTTGTGGTTTCAAATATCATTCAACTTTACTATTAAGTTTTATTTCTTTCTTTGAAGTTGTACTAATTTTAGCAACATAAGGAACAAACCCTAATCCCCATTTAATATTATATTCGTTTTCCTTATGTAATAATATTATTCTAATATAATTACTAAATACAATCCAATAATAAGTACCAAACGCAGTGCCAATATGCCACCATCCATGTAATTCCAATAAATGACTTAAAGGCATACCTATTCTACGACGAGCTGCTATTAATTGATGGCAAGCTATATTATCAACATTCCATAAGAAAAATCCAAGTCCAAACGTTGTCCAAGATGTAAACAATAATTTTTTCATAAGAATACGTGTTTGACCTTTAGGTACTTGTGTTAATAAATAAATCGATCGAAAATTAAGTACTATTACTAATAATGCATATGATATTTGATGAAATACTGGATTGTTGATATATAAATAAGCCGCTGTTACACTTAGTGCATATATAAATAAGGCTAATGGTAAAAATAAGCCGAACTTTCTTTTTTCTCCTGTTTCGAAACTATATGAACATTAATGAAGAAATTAGTTGAATTGCTTCAGAAATATAGTTATGATAGTAGTAAAGTCGCATACATGTCGTGTGTTAAGACACATGCTGCATAGATCACTATATAGTTAAATAAGGAAGAAATAATTAGCATAAAAAGAATTCTTTTGAAATTTAAAATTTTTAAACGATACTTTACTTGGAAGTTCATCTAATAATTGAAATTCATACAGCAAAGTCATATGAAACCACCAAGATCCTATCCCGATCAATGCAATTGCGGCATAGCCAAATGCGTGACGAAAAGGCAAACCACATTTGAAAGTAGTGTAAATACCGAAAATTGCCAAAGTGACTTAAAATCAACGACAAAAAAAAAAAAAATTATTAAAAAAATATAATCAATTATATTATAAAACATTTGTATGTTTAATAAATAATAGAAGTATAACTTACTAAAAATAAGATTTGTTGTAGTATTGATGAATTCGGCGATATATTTATGAACTATATAATTTTCCTTAAAAATACCAAGAAATAAAATGTTAAAGAATATAGGGCATATTTTTAAATACGAATAAAAACAAATAATTCACAGCCCACCAATTAATTTTAAAGAGGTGAATTGATAAATTATAATTATTATAGTCTTACTTCGCACCAATCCAAAGTTGCCGTTCTGAAAAAAAGTGTGTTTATTATTAGATTAAAATAATAGCTAAATAAATAAAATAATGCTGTGTTTATTGAACTTACGTTTCTCCCCAAAAAGGTAATAGAGTTTCTTTCATTTCATTCATTGTGAAAAAAATTTAATTCAACATATATTTATATCAACTCTGAGAGAAAGGGTATAGCAATATCTCGTGATATTTATAAAAAAACCAGAATGGGCTGTGTAAAACAATGATTCAGTTTAGCCCCTACAAAATCTTTGCATCGCTCAAGATCTAGTAATATGTACTGATCACAGATCTACTGTGGCTGTAATGGTATCGTGTAATGTAATTTGATTATGCCTTCTTGACTGCACGTGGTTAGATACTTTATTATCATGTCATATAGGCTTGCCAATCCAATGTGGCTTTTTTTATTGTTTAATTTCCCGTGATAACAAATAAAAAATAAGCTTGTCGATCCCAATTAAAAAAAATTTGTGTTACCTTAATTATAAACGTTTTGAGATAATTTTACACTCGTTGCAATTGATTTTGTTATTTTTCTATACACTAATTCTTGAAAATCAATGAAATGGTATTTTACCATATAAAGTTGTTTGATATTAATTGTTATACTCTTTTTATTTTTCTTTAATGTGATTAAATTAATTTTATCGCTATTATATAATAAAGAAAGAATAAAATATTAAAATTATTGGTAATATAGCTTACGCGTTCCTTATATTATACTTAATGGTATAATGGCATAATCTCTATTTAATAGTTTTTTTTATATTGAAATTAGAGTAGAGTTATTTAGGTATGTGCTAATTTTGAGTATTTTAAGTAATTTTTCTTGAATGAAGAGTATAAAGCTAAAACTACTTTAGTGAATCTGCTGTATGCACCAATTTGTGACACGACCGTTATCAGCAGTTTTTCTCTGTTCGTCCTCAACAAGATAATAAGTTGGAACCAATTATTTACGCTATTTTATATTTTATTCATTTACTATTTTCTTCTTTTAAAACAATTACCATCTATAACATATTTTTATTTTTTATGATTTATATTTTAATATGGCTCTATGCCCCAATTCTGGATAAACTGGGCCACTCGTTCTACTGAATTGGTACAGGTGTATAGAGAACACAAAAGAGGTACAATGAAAAGAAACAAAATAAAATATCTATAAACTTCAGTTTAATCCAATATCATATCTAACAATTATAAAGTTAAACTATATCTACTGTTTTTAAAACTTATAGCTTGAATCCTGAGTGAATTTTTTTTCTTTAACCATTATCCCATTAATCTGCTGCATCTTGTTACAATCTTTCTTCTTTAAGAAGTTTCTCTTCAAGTTGAAAGGAATGTATTTATATCAATTCAAGTTTACACAGCTTTTAATATACTTATAGTATTGCCCAAATTTTAAAGTACATACTACATAATTAACTTGCATTTTTTTCCTTTTTGTATTATTTTAAAAGATTTGACTTCTAGTTTAATTAGATTATAAGTGTAATTATTTGGAAAAGAGTTTCTGTTGTTATTGATTCAGAAATATCTTTGGCTAAAACCAGGATTTCTTATGTAAATTACTAATGAAATGCAGTTTTTAAAAATTCTTTATTACAAACAAGGTAAAATATAGGGAAAAAATGGATTTTAGCAATGTAAAAGTAGCTAATATTTTATAAAAGTTATACATTAATAAAAATTTTTTTAAAAAAACAATTACATTTAATTCAGATTATAATAATTCAGGCTATACTTGTAGTCAAAACTTTCTAATGCAAAGGTATCCAAATTTGAAATTAATGCCAAAATCCAAAATTATAGCCAAAACTTTATATAGGCCAAAATTATTTTTATTATAGATTAAAAATCTGAACCCATTTTTTTATTATTTATTAATTATTATTTATTTTATTATGAAAAATTGGCATTTATTTATTTTATTATATTATGTTATTTATTTATTAATTATCATTATACTTAATTATTATTATTATACTAAATGCTAAATTGCAAAAAAAAAAAAAAATTAAAATTACTATTTAATTTCCTCAATATCAAAATCTTTTCATTTCATATTAAAAATTCAAGATTTAATATTTATATCTAAAGTAATATCTAGAATCTAGATCATATAATTGAAATATATTAATAAAACAATAATTATATCAATTATATATATTTTCATCATATATATAAAAATTCAAAATCATCAGCTTTCAGTTTATTACTAATTTTAACAATAGTATTAATTATTTTTTTATATACAGTCAGCCTCCTCTACAATCACACCCCTCAGGACCATCCAATGGTGTGATTATAATAAGGTGTGCCTATTGGTGAGGGTTAAATATATAATCACACATATATAAATTTTTAAGTAAACGTGATTATATATATATATATATATATAAAATAATTAAGTAAAAAAGTTTTATATGTAAAATATACCAAATTTTTGAAAAATAAAAAACTTAAATTTTTCCTCATGGTAAAACAACAAAATAATAAAATGAAACGCACAGTTATTTTATAAATCACGTGATTTGTGTGCTTATGCAGAGGAAATTTTACATATATTTACTATAATATATATGGGACCGACGTTTGGTGTGATTGTACTTATAACTAATAAAGTGATTATAAAAGGGGTATTTATATATAAAAAAATCTGGACTAAAAAATGTGTGCCTTAAGGAGAGGAGTTCTTATATGGGAGATGCCTATAAAGGGGGTCGACTGTATAGAATTTTCCGAAGTATTTAATAGTATAGTAAAATAATTCACATTTAGCATTTGTAATATAACAAATAACTGGAAATTGGAAAAAATAAGTAAAAATAAAAAAAGATTGTAAAAAATAAAAAAAGTATGTGGATTTATAAGTTTAAACTTTAAAGGATAAAGACAAATTACAAAAAAAAATATTTTAAATTTAGATTGATTAATTTAATGATTTTAAATTTTTAATCTAATAATAGTTTTATTTTTAGATTTTAAATTTAAATGAAATTAAAAGCTATTTTGCTTAATTCATCATATTATTCCTAATGTGTGAAAAATAAAAATAATATAAATTACTTGGTTAATATTTTGTAACAACTTAAAATATTGTTATGATCTTCATCATTAACTTCATTCTTCATACTCTTTAAAATCTCTATAAGACAGTTAAAGTCTTCATTTTCCAATTGAATTTTAAAATAATTCCATTACTGGGTAATTATATTAGAAGTAGTTATTTTATCTAAGAAAAAGGACTTTATAATGGAATGAAAATTTTGGCTGATAAGCTAATAATTTAAGATATAAAAGTTTTTGTTAGCTTTTGTTAGTATATATCTAGTAAAAAATAAGCAATTATAATTTCAAATTTCATATACTTTCCTTTTAAATGATTTGCAATTTCTCTATTCATGTTTTCTCTGAGCTCAAGTAGAACCCCGAGCAATACTGAAATAGATAACAAGAAATAACGTGTAAAATAGACTAAAATAATCATGAAAATCTTTCCTTTTTTAGATAAATTTTGATAATATTAGTAAGAAATATATTACTTTATTTAATAACTGACTGACATTATCATAATTCTGACCCTGAAAAAATGCGTAAAGCTAATAGTAAATTTTTACCAATTTCCTATAACATATTTATATATTATTTGGGGTCCTGCTCAAGTTTATGTTAAGTAACAAATCTTTAGGCCAAAATTTTATTTTTGAGAATAAGAGCATATGGAATGTACATTAAAGATCTCAACATTTTCAAATATATTGGAAGGCAATGTATATATAAACTTTTTTTTTGTCTAACCGCTTAATATTAAGACTTGGCAACATTATATAGACATTATTCTATTTAGAATATTTCGTCTATTTTACTAAATCTTATTCTACTAAATGTTATAAGGAAAAAATTTGAAATATTTTGAGAAAATCAGTTTATATATGAAATTATTTTGTCATACAAGTATAGTTTTATAAATGATTTGTGAATTATTACATATTACATCATATATACTTTAATGAGAATCTGAAAATATACTAATTTATGTTGCACATGCCAATAATGCATTATAGCAGAGTGAAAGTAAAAAAAATAAAGTGTAATCCTAAATTTAGTTATGGAGTAGTAGTAAAAAAATATTATTGATTTTTTAAGTATTTTTCATAATAATAAGCAATAGTAGATAGCAATTTAAACAAAAAACTTTTGTGAAAATTCAATACCCCATATGCTATATTATTCAATTGTTATCTTAACTGATATTTCTTAACTTTTATCCATCTACTAGAAGAACAATAAACATATTTCTTATATGGTGGGTTAATTTGATTGGATTAATTATTCCAATATATTTTGAGTAACTTTTTCTAAATAAAGCATAAAACTCATTGCAAGCTAAAGCATACTCTTTTTGCATTTCAAGATTAATAACCATCTGTTCTTTTCTAAGTATATCTAAGAATTTCTTTCTATCAGGAATACCATCATTTCTTATTTCTCAAACTTGTTTTGTCAAAATTTAGGTCTTTTTTTATAATTCCTGTAAATAAACTCGCTAGATAACTGTTGCATAGAAATTTTCAAAACTATAATGATAATAGTATTTACTATTTAGGAATTAAGAATCCCCAAGATTTCTTCATTGACCTTTCTAAACTTCTTAAAAAATACTTTGTTATAGATTAGAGGATCTAACCCAGAATAGGCAGATCATGCATAGCGATTTTTATCCTGCAAGTAATATATTTTACAATTATACTAGGTAATCATACATGCAGATTATATAGTACAAAAAAACATGTTATTGAAATATTATTTAGTCAAAAGTAATAATCTATAATTAAAACATTGCTCAGAATTGATAAGTCAAAACAGTTAAACAATTGTGATTTCTGCCCCATCTCTTAATCTTATTGTGGTACCTTTTGGCTAATTAAGATATTTGTGGATGGTAATAAGTTATTTTGTTTTGCAAACAGAGATGAGATAAATATTTTGTTTGTATTACCCTCTTTTGATCTACCAATCTGCGAAAAATAGAGTGGATGCATCTTTTGGCTATTGTTCACGATCTGATGAAATTCTAAAAGGACACATTTCTGTCTTTTAGCTAACTCTTACTGTAATTATTTTTCAGCTAATTCTTGTTGAGATAATCTATCAGCTAATTGACATTTCTTATAATCTGACCAACTTTTGGCATAATAAAAGTCAGCATGTCTAGAATGATACCTTCTTGAACAAAAACTCCAAATTCCATGCTATATCTATAATCAAAATTAAGCATATTTAGAAACTTCTTATCCTCAAGAGTGTTATCCTTTCAAGTTTCAAACTGCTTCCCAAACTTGTTTTGCCAGAGTTTTAGGCCTTCTCTTATAATTTTGATAAGCATTTTGGATAAGTTGTGCACCCCCATCCTTAGTTTTAGCTTTGGAGCATTCAGTATTCCAATGGTGTTTCATTAAATTTTTAGATTTAATCTTATATCTATGCTTGTGCCATCCATTAAAATATGTCTTTTTTGGTTTTATATCAGTAATCTTTACTAATTTTCAGCAATTGAAATAAATAGCCATATTACTCTTATGGATTCTGAGCTGATGATAGTCAGAATTAACCATCTTGCCATTCTCGAATCCTAACACTTACAGCCCATGCATGTATCATACTTCCACTCTATTCTGATTATTTTTTTGAAGTTAGTATCATAACAATAATTTACAATATATACGCTAACATATTTCATATCATATTCAGGATGATTATTAATAGGTTTAGATATAATCTTATTAAACTGCTCATCTAAAATAATATTAAAAGCTAATCCAGACATGTTTATTAACGAATTGGTTGATTTTATCGATTTATAGTAATTCTTTATCAACTTATACTTATGAATATCATGATTCAAATTCGTCACAGACAGCTTTATAATATAGTACTTATACACTTTATGATTTATTTCATGCTTAAAACCTCACTATAGTACATTTGTAGCATACTCACATACTGTGTATTTATTTCTATAATTAAAGTTTTTCCAATGCATAAAGTTAACATAATGTGATACACTAAAATTGAAAACCAGGAGACCTTCACATGTGCGTTATACACTTACACTATTAATACTTAAAATATGATTGCAGTAATGCACAAAGATGAAAAATAAAATGTCATATAGATAGAGCTTAGATCCAGATTATCCGTTGATATTCACTGAATATGTCCGTTCAAAGGTTATAAATCCAGATATCCAGATATCAATTCTAAATATTAATCTGGATGGTAAAATTTGGATATTTATAGAATATTTATTGAGTTATTTTTAAATTTTATTCGTATTCTAATTATGGCCACCAGATTCTAAAAGAACCTTAAAAGCTGAATTATTGTTATTGTTGTTGTTTCGTCATCTATATTTTAACATTTATCAAAATCTAGGTAATTCTCAATATTACTATCTACTGTACTTCTATTATATTACGTTTTTGGCTAGTAGACATCCTGTTTTTTTAAGCTTTTTTTGAAATAACTCTAGACTACTTATTCAGATGGGAATGTTAATTAAACTAATTTCATTCCAAAAAAATACATATGGCCATATGGGATTAATATTAAGTAATATTCCATTGTTAAAATTTTATTACATCATGTTTACATTATATTTACATTATATCCTAAGATATCTGGATTATATTCAGTGAATATCCTATTTTCTTAAGCAAAATCCAGATATCCTATCTAAAAGTGAACAGATATATCTATAATTTTAGGATATTCACTGAATAATCCATTAGGATCATTTACCGGATCTAAGCTCTACATATAGAATATGCAAAATAATTTGAGTTTAACAGAAGTATAATGACTGTTCAATGCTAAATCCTTGCTTTCTTAATTTTTTTTGCAGTCATAAATCATAATGCTCTTAGTTTTCTTTGTATTAGTAGTGCTCCTAATTTTCTTTATAGTCGCAGTACTTTTAGTTTTTTTCGTAATCACAGTGCTTTTAGTTTTCTTGACGCTTCCAGTAGAAGAATTAATCATTTTCGTAGTCATCTTCTTAGATCCACCTTTACTTCACATAAAGTCTTTTATTGTTTTCATACTTTCAAACAATAAACACTAATTTACAAGAAATTGAGAATGTTAGTTTTATGATCTTTGTATTTTATTTCTTCTGAAACCTATTTATACAAACCTCATATTCCAATAAGCCCATTACTGTTTTATGAACTTTTGCCATGTCCACTCATGTCTTAGGTAACGGAAATGTTGATATTACTTCCATAGTATAGATTTCTGTATATTTTAGTTGAAACTCATAAATAGTCAGCTCATTTACTGTAAAACACAGAGTTAGTAATGGTAACAAAAATTAAGAGAGGAATTCAGAAATCAGAAATCAGAACTTACTATATAATTGTAGCCCATATAGCTTGACCAATGTGATATCGGAACTTAAGTTAAGCTCCACAAACTAATTCATTAAAGTTTTTAGTATCTTTGCAATTTTCATCTGAACACCTATCAATTTTTTTTCTGTTAGATTAGCATTTATCATCTGCCTTACCAGAATTACAATCTCTTACATTTGCCTTTAGTGTATGAAGCACACCAATATTGTTTATTTTTAGTAAAAAATTCAGAGAGGATGGGCGCCAAAACATTGATTATGTATGTTCCTTTGAACATCAGGTCAAGAAGCCAATTCACATTTTCCATTAGTTTTATCCTATAAGGTTAGTCTTATACTTTCATTAGTCATTAGTCTTATAGTCTCATTACATTTTTGATGAAGTAATATACTCACATGCGACTCACGAATTCTAACGCATAGACCTTCTCAAATGAAGTAATATTTTCTTCTTTTTGTTATTTTAATTTCTCTTTAGTGATTTTGATATCACAATCAATCACATTGTCCAAAAATATCTTAATATCTTGCTCCATATTATCTTTTGTTTTTTCTTTTTTTCTCCTCATATCGATACGCATCTGTTCAACGATACTTTAATCTAGCGTATTTAAGAAATCATCCTTATAATTAGAATTGAAGAAAATAATGTTATAATATTCTGGCTTCATTTTTGGCAGATTTTCGTCAAGCTGATATTGTATCAGACTTTCTCTGATACAAATCCTATTTACAATCCAGTTGGTGCTTTTTCTGCCAACGATCATTTGATCTGCATTATATTCGTCATTCTTCTCTTCTTTAATATCTCGGTATGCTTTATTCCTTACAATTCAGTACTAAAGTACAGTTGGATTTTTTTATTAACCAGAAGGACGAGTTGAATTATATAAGCAAATTACTAAAGTACAGTTGGAAGTAATTTATATCTTGACTAAGTCACATCATTAGTGGTCACATAATAACTTCCGCAGTTGTTATGTCACAGTAGGTCTGATCATTCAGAATTTTGATCAGTTTTTAGTTAAATAATATTAATTAATAAATTGGTGTAATTCAATTAGTGACCCAATTTTTCTGAACTAAAAAAAAATGGAATTATTTTGATCATATTTTAAAATAGGCAAAGCACAACAAAAACAAATATGCTGATTGGTTATTTGAAATTTTTTTGCAATTAACGATCTGTATACTTAATTTTAATTTTAATCATATGTTCAGATTGGCTAACGGATTTTGCAATCAAAAACCTGAACAATTAGTAATAAACTGGCCTAGTGACACAGTCTTTCAAATTGAAATTTAAGGCCAGCGATATTCAGAAAAGCAAATTAAATGATTTATAAAACAGGGTATTCTGTTTTTTCTGAAAAAACATATTTTTAAAGGAGATCCAACCAGGTTATATATTTTTTTTTATTTGTATATCATTGCTACAATGTTATTTTTTATATTAATAAAGTTTATAACATAACTTTGAATTATGAGAGTTAGTTTGTATACTGCAATAAAGTAAACATAAATCAATATATAACTGTGGAAATTCAGATATATAGCGCAATATTCACATTATGTGAAAGTCATAGGTAGGACCTCAGATCTTGCATGTGACCAAAATGCTCTTCAATTGTTCGAATTTGTGGATCAGTAAGCTTTGAAATAGCTTTACACTATATGATATGAACAGTTTAATCTTATCTACTCCAATTCTCTAAAACAACTTAAAAATCTTCACAGCTTTTTGAGTTTTTTTACATAAAGTATCCTTAGTAAATCTATCAGAAAGATGTTCCATTATATTATCATACACTTGATTTCTTGCTGATTGATCACTAACTCCTCTTTGAGCATTCTTAATTTCTTCAACTTTCTCTTTATACATTTTCACATAATAATACCAACACAAAATTTCTTTTTGAATTGCTTTTGTAGCACATATCTCTGCTCTACACGCTTTTTGGAATAGGCAGGCTAAAGTCTTAGGTATTGAAGCTTTTAAATTATCCTCAGCTACTTCATTATTTTTAATAGTTTCTCCCCTAACAGATGTAGATAATTCTTGCAATAAGCCCTGCAAAATATAGTGCTCATAGCCATGAGAGGGCTAGTTTCACGATTTTGGTTAGAAGTAATTGGCATATACATGTCATCAGTAAGTAAAACTTTATATATTCTAATATATTTCCAAAATGGTTAATTATTTTTTTCAATAGATGTAATAAAGAAGTAACAGCAAATTTAGTTAACAAATCATAAATGAAAAAAAAGCGAATATGTATCTAAAAGTGAAGCATTCTTCGTAATCTATATATAAAAAATTGGAAGAAGACTTTATCTTTTTAAATATATACTCGGATATATCATCCAAAGTAATTTTCTTCAGAAATATTATATAAAATTATAAAACTGAAGAAGACTACCTTTATATTATTAGTATGTATCCAAATATGTCATTTAAGGTATCCTTCTTCAGAATTTTTATATAAAATAATGGAAAAAGAATACCCTATTACTAGTATGTATCTGGATAACTGCATAATTTATTATATAAATATTGGCAAAAGTCTCCACTCCATTTTCATCTCAAAGTATATACTTATATATGGCATAAAACCTTCTTTGTAATCTATATATAAAAATTAAAAGAAGGCTTTATCTTTTTAGATATGTACTCAAATATAGTATAAATGGGCTGGTCATAATAGGATCCTGAACAATATATATAAATGTAGGTTTTGAGTTTGATTAGCCAACATATAAAAATTTTTTCTTATGTGAGATTTATTATTGCTTATTTGATAACATAATTTTAAAATAGTCAGATATAATTTGCGTAGTAGAGTATTAAATTATTAATAGTCAGATATATATTTGCGTAGCAGGATAGATTTTTTTAATATATATATAATATAATATATATTTTACATTTTTCACATTATCACCGTTTTCAAATTACTGTAAACTGCGGCTTGTCGATCATTTTATAAATAAACCGAAAATGTGTGATTTTTGTAAAACTGTACTAGTAAAACTTTACGTTTCACATATAAACATATAAATATTTTTTGATCTGCATAACACCTAGCTATTCTTGTATCACTTTTAAGTGTTTTTTCAGTCTTTCGTTCTATTTTACTGGAAGATTTCTGATGATTCAACACTGGGTATAGTAACGATTTTACACCATATATTGCGAAATCTGCAATTGTATTGTTTATTCAATAGAAATATTGTACGCAAATGTTATGTAATACAAATAATAAAGTTATAATATTTATATTTTTCTTTTTCTTTTCTCAGATCTCTATTTTGTTTTTCCAGATTTCTACTAAATCTACATTAGGTATGGTAATAAGTTTTATGATATTGTAATTATTAGTTTATTCAACTAAAATATGTGTCTGGAATATTAGTAGAAAGCCCTATGCCTACAGAAATTAGCGAAGATTTACATTGGCGTGTTGTGTATCTTTATAATAATGATTTTTCTATCATAGATATTGCTAACACATTGTATGTTAGTAAGAGCTTTGTGATCAAAATAATAAATTTATATGTAAAATGGGCGTGTGTTACCAGTCCAGTTAAAGGAGTTCCTGGCAGAAGAAAACTATTTAGTAGAAGCTGAAATGTGTATACTCCAAAATCTTGTAAAAGACAAAGTTGACTGGTATTTAGATGAGTTAGTTTATGAGATGGAAAATCTTACAGGTAAAAGAGTTTCTGTTTCAGCACTTTGGAGATCACTTTATTATTTAGGAATTACTCGAAAAAAGGTATTGAAATAATCAATTTTAATAATGAAATCAATTAGAAAATTGAAATACTCAATAATTATATTTATTTTTTTTACAAAAGTTGCAAAAAGCAGCATATGAAAGAAGTGAACTTATGCGTGCACATTATTTAGATGTAATTGGCGAACATTATACTTCAAATCAGTTGATTTTTCTTGATGAATGTGCTAAGGATGAGAGAAGCTTATCAAGATTATATGGGTATTCTCCTCACAATACACGTGCATGTAAGAAAGTAGTATTTGTACGAAGAAAGCGATATACAATCTTACCTGCTCTTACATTAGATGGATTTATTACTGTTGATGTATTTGAAGGAGCATGTGATAGAAAAAGATTTGTTGATTTTGTGCTTAATCAAGTAGTATGTAATATTACGTTTATATAGAACTTTATTTTGTATTTTATTATTTATATTTTATTATTTATAAAATTTATTGTCAATATAGGTGCCTGTGATGAATCCATATCCTGGTGATAATAGCGTAATTATAATGGATAATGCTAGAATAAATCATGATGCTGAACTTATTTCATTGATGGAAAGATTAGGATGCCGTGTAGTTTTTCTTCCACCTTATTCTCCTGATTATAACCCAATTGAAACAGCATTTTCAACTATCAAATTATGGATTAAACGTAATCATGATTTTATGGAAGTTTGTGATGATTCAATATATGCTTTATTAGTTGCATGTAGTCAAATTACTCCTCAAATGGCACAATCATTTTTTACATCATCAATTTATTTGTAAACTCAATAACCATATTTTATTATACTTTATTTTTGAATATACACGTCAATATTTTTGTGCTTCTTGTCTAATATTTTTTTGCCACCCAATTTTTACAATACCTAATGTTTTCATTTGTTCATCAGATAAGTCTTTTATAAAATTTACAGTTATTGCTTCTTCAAGAAAAGCATTTTCAAATTGAGAATATTCACCATTACAATTGTATTTTTGATCTAAACTAAAAAGAAATTCATGAATTGAAGGTAATTTGTGATTTGTAGATGTATCTAATTGATTAAAAGAAGGATAAGGATATTGAAATGGTGGCATTTGAATAATAATAGGTGTAGGTGTATTAGCAGGTGGGACAGCTGATGCAGCAGCAGGTACTGCAGTAGCAGATGTAGTAGTGGATGCAGTAGCAGGTGCAGTAGTGGATATTTGAGTATTATTATTGCTAACTAACACGCCTAATGTTGCACTAAATGTGGGATAAGTTGGTGGAACGTCTTCGGTAGTACCTTTATTCATCTATAGTAATAATTAAATTTTGTGAATATCCAAATAAAAATCAATTTTATTGCAGATAACTTACAATTTCTCGTGCCCAAAGTTGTAATCTTGCTGGATTAAGCTGTAAATGACGATTATCTTGAATATAACATGGTGTTGTATGTAAATTACACTTGTATTTTTCGCATAATACAGAAATTATTTCTGCTTGTGTTCTTTCTTCTTTTGATAAATCATCATCTCTAATAACACGAGATTTTTTCTTCTTTTTAGTATGTGTTATTACCTTTTCTTTCTCAGAAACTGATCCATCACTTTCAACATCATCAGAATTCTAAAAATTTTAAAAAATTACGTCAAGTTAGAATATTGAATATGTAAAATAATAAGAGTAATTGCAATTTCCTTACCTTTAAACGCTTTTCACTTGATTTTGTTTCATTATCTGTAGAATTATCAATCACTACCATCATTCCCATTTTTTTATTAGCTGTAGTAACTTTCTTATAATCTTCAATAAACTCTTTAAAATCAAGTTCATCTTCTAATTCACTTGAAAGACCACGTGAATTCATTGCTTTATATGATATACTGTAATATGCTGGTTTGATATTCTCATTTTGAAGTGCTTTTTGTACAAAAGCATTGATCTTTTCCATAACATTGATATATTCAACTGGTTTAATAATTAGAGACTTAGAAGTAGAGGTTTTCTTACCCTTTTTTTCAATGCTTACATGTAGTTTGATTTCATCAATACCACATTCTTCAAATAATTCAAGAGACTCAACGTACACTGCAGCTTTACTTTTCATTTTTTTTTTAGAAATTTTGTCTTTAGTTTTCAACCTTTGATATTTACTATTACATGTAGAACAAAAAGTAAAAGAAAAAGGCTCATTAAAATTATTATTATATTGAAATTTCGTCTCAGCAGAAGAAAGAAAGTAATTTGCTGTTGGTAAATTTTCGTTTAGAGTATATACACGAAAATAAATTTGCTATCCACGTTCTGGTTTGCTTACTCTTGTTGGTTTTATGTTTTTATTACAGTTACAAGGTGAAAAATTAAAGCAAAACAGACATTTCTGACACGCGAAGCAAATACCAGGAAGATATTTGTTCATTTTAATATTTAATTCATGATCCGTCTCCGAACCAGTGAAAACTACTAATAAATTTCAGGGAACTGGTTTTACAAATTAATTATAACTTAAATGGCTTTTGAGCTGATTTTCCCAGAATTTTTTTTTTTTAAGTGTTATATAATAATGTTCTGGGTATATTGAATGATAAATTTGCATTGTCAAATATTAATATC